ATTTTAAAGAATTCAGTTCTGGATCCGTATCCGAGACATGTCTGGATTGATCAAGTTCAAACTTCACACACACAAGGTACATCATGTCACAAATAGATATGTGCATTTGTTTCATGATCCGCTTAACAATAGCTGAATGATGGCCATTTTTTTAAGGCCGAAAAAGCATCAAAATCACGTATTTTCACAATTCCGGAACCAGATCTCAGTCATGCATGGATGGATTTTGTTCAGATTTAGTACAATGTGTTGTACATATGCAGGTGCATTTCGGTCATGATCTGCTTTGAATGTATATGTCACTCAAATATGAACGGAACGGGGACGTGTCATTGACAATGACTTGTTTTTTATTGGTTTGTTCTATGATTTTGATTCAACCAGCCAGCTGACAACCATTCCAATTTTCACCCATTTCTCTGACAAATTTTTTCAATTTTTTTTTCAATAATTATATGAAGGCTAGACAAAATGTGTTTTTGTATATGTAGAAATTCACTACGTTCAATTACCCACCATAGACTCCGGTCAGTCAAAATGACTATTTTGAACTGTAGGCATTAATCAGCGATTCTGCCAATGACAGAGAGATAAAATCTAGGTCAGGGGACGCCCCATGACCCCAAGATTTTTTTCCCTTACATCACGAACCACGTGACCGAGGTAATGTGGCGACGCCACTTCACCTTGACCTTTACTCTTTCTTTATCTCTGCATCAACGGGGATGAAGTCTAGCGGCTCTGCCTGGATAGCCTGCTTTTTCCTGTCCAGGTTTCTGGCTTAGGTTGCTACGGCGGCCAGCGGTAGCTGACACTGTGGCTGGTAGGATATGTTTTTCTTATTTGTTACCCCCGTGTCGATTTCCCCTTTTGTGTGTATAATTTTTCACAACAAAGAAAATAAAACCCGACGACACAATTTAAACACATCATTGTTTTTTGTTGCGTCACCTTTTTCAACTGTATTTCGCTTCCCTCATGCATGTTGTGTTCATTTTATGCTTTACCAATGTATTTAGAAATGGATAGATGTAATGACAGCACCAGAGGCTCGCCGCCGGTTTTTGTCTCCTTGTTTTTCGAGGCGACTGGTTATAATCAGAATTTACCAGCATGGAACCCGCATCCGGGATGCTTTTTGCCGTGGCTGAATGCCGAATTCAGGGTTTTTGCCTTGAAGGCGTGTGTTTTTCAATGGAGTTCTGAGGCCTGGGATGTTTTCCAGAGCCAGGCAAAATCGCTGAGACTGACCACGTCGCTCGTATTTTCACAGCATGGTCAAAGTGAGTTGCGTGTTGGCATGAGTGGAAAGTCCTCACGCTCGGCTACCGGTGCTTCGTGAACTGAGACGTCGAGTAGGAGGCCAGATGGTGGAGGTACCGATATTTTTCGGTCTCCCCCCGCTGATCGGTAGGCATCCACACAGTCTGGTTTCAGGTGGTGGTTTACCCGATTTTACCGGCTACAGCGAGGCTGTGCCCCTGGAGGTCTTTCCTCCTATGGGGCCCGTTGCGGGTCCCTTTGTGGATCCGTCCTCACACGGCGCCGGGTTTGCCTCCGAGATGAGGGCTTTGGTTGAATGACAGTCGGGGCAAATTGCGTCACTGGCAGACCGGGTAGATCAGATGCAGTCAGAGCGAGCTGTCTCCACTGCGGCCCCTCGGTCGGCAAGCAGGAAGAAACACAAAGCATCGCTCGCATTCCCAGCCGCGACTCTCCCGCTAATTTGGGTGAGGCCCAGGCTCAGGCTAGTCGCATCGGGTCCCCTCATCAGGTCGTCGCTCGATACCTGACTTAGGAATTTACCCTTGAGTCCGGGCTCCGCTGTGGATCCCGCAGAGTTGCTGGAGCGTATTATTGTGCGCACCCATGGCTCTAAGACCTCAGAGGCAGAACTCACCATCCACCTAGACCAGGCGACACATTTACGGGTGGGCCACCGCACAGCTACGTGCGACATCCCCCAGTGTCAGCTGGCTCTCCTGGCTGGGGCTACTACTGTGCAACGAGACGCGGTCTTAGACGCGTGTGTTTTCGTCGGCGAACTGAGTCAGGGAGTACGTCACCCCCTCAGTTACGCAGACTGGACATCTTCCACCCTCTTTGATGGGGGGTGCAGTCTCAGAGATTTGGAGTCAACGAACCAAATGGTTCAGGTCGAATTCGCTAGCCAGTTGGCCACTGCCAAGGATAAACGGAGTCGCCCCAAGCACAGAAAACACAACGCCCTAAGGTGACGTTCGCTAGCCAGAGTCAGCCAGGAGGCAAGCACTCATACCCTTCCGCGGAAGGGAAGAGTAGTGGCGCGCCCCCAGGGAAGAAGGGACCAGGTGGTGGCACCTAATGCTCCTCGGGCGGTCGTCCAGGTGGTGACATACAGTTACAGGATACCCCTGAAATCTCCATCTCCCCCGTCAGTGTCTCTCCCATTGGGGTCACTGCCAGGGGGCTCCCGCAAGGCGGAAGCAATCAGACAGACAGGAAGTAGACAGTTTGCTGGAAAAGGTAGATCAGCCGGCATTAAGTCCAGGCTTCTACTCAAATGTGTTTGTAGTACCAAATCTACAGGTGGCGGCATCCAGTTCTGGACCTAGGCAGACTGAATCAGTACGTGCTCCTCGATCGGTTCTGCATGAGACACCATTCAGCGTTCTTCTCTCCATCCACCGTTTCGACTGGCTAGCCTCACTAGACTTAAGTGGGGCATACCTGCACATACTGATGCACCCAGTGAGTTGCCAACTCCCTCGAATCGCCCAGCTGGGCCAAGTATTCGAATCTCGGGTGCCCCCCTTGGGGTTATGCACAGCCCCCTACGTTCCACCAGAATGGATGGAACAGTTGGTGCTGCTGCTTCACCAAATGTCGGTACACATTAATCCGTACCTAGACGACTAGTTATTACGTAACTCAAACAAGGGGTTATTAGCCGAGCAAGTAAGGCTAACACAGGATTTACTTCACCAGTTGGGCTCTTTAGTAAATCAGACAAGTCCCATCCCTACCCAACGCAACAGTTGGTGTTCCTGGGCATGGAGTTTGACACAGAGGTAGGCTTGGTATATCTATTTCAAGCGTGTTGCTTGGTGCTAAGCAGCCTAGCTGAACACTTAGTCAGCGTTTCCGCAGTGTCCCTCCGAGAACTAATCCGGATCATCAGAATGATGACCTTGATTCGAAGGGTAGTTCCCCAGGCCGCATTACGCAGCCGCCCGGTACAATGCTTGATGCTACAACACCGAGCTCTCCTACGGGAACTAGACAGGCGGGTATTGATCTCGGACCAAGCGAAGGAAGCCCTGCCCTGGTGGTCATCACTGGCCAACCTCAGACAGGGGGTCCCCTTGGACCCACTCGCCACAGCTACAAATCTGGTAACGGATGCCTCCCTCCAAGGTAGGGGAGCGCATCTATTGGACAAACAAGACAAGATATATGGCCCGCATTAGTTTTGGGGCCACCATATCAACCGGCTCGAACTGAAAGCAGTGCATTTAGCACTACCACACGTTCTACCCGTAGTTTGAGGCCACAGAGTCCTGCTCCGCACAGACAACACAGCGGTGGTCTCCTTCTACAAGGAGGGGGGATGGGTGTTTTCCATCGTTGTCAGTCCTAGCAGAGCAAATTCTTCTTTGGTGCCTGGAATACAATGTGGAGCTAACCGCACACCGCCTTCCAGGGGTGTGGAACAGTCTGGCAGACGCCCTTTCGAGGCGGCTCCGTTCCAGAACACGGAGTGGCAGATACCCCAGTGGGTAGCCTCCAGACTGTTTCGGCTGTGGGACGGTCCAAAGATAGACCTGTTTGCCGCACCCCGAAACGCCAAGCTCCCGACATACATAACACTCCTGCCAACTCCAGGAGCCTTGGCCAGGGATGCCTTATCAATCCCGTGCGCCCACATAGATGTGTACGCCTTTCCCCCCTTTCCGCTATTTCACCGGGCATCAGAAAAAACTTTGACAGGTGCACACCTGCGTATTGTCATAATTGTCATAATTGGCCAACCAAGGCCTAGTTTCCACTTCTGTTGAAAATGCTAGTCGAAACTACAGTTATTGTAGTGCTTCTGGACCACCGGACCTGCTGTCCCAACCGGACGGCGCACTACCAACGAGCCCAGCGGTGTAGCACTTACACGCATAGAGGCTATCAGTAGACTCACACAGACGAATTGTTTATCTGAGCGGGCTGCCAACGTCCTGGTCAGGGCGAACAGGGATTCCACCAATGTTGCCTACAATGCTAGGTGGCAAGTATACACAAATGTACACTGATTGGTGTAGCAGAAGGGAGATTTGATCCATACCATCCCTCTATTGGCCAGGTAGCAGACTCCTTCGTCCACCTGTTTGACGAAGTAAGTTTGTCCTACGCAGCAATCGTTGGCTACAGGTCGGCCTTGTCCCCCACCATTGAGAATGCTTTGGGAACAAGACTAGCCGATTTTCCTATTATTAGGAGACTATTTACTGCCTTCCATAATCAGAGGCCGAGACCCTGTACAAGGGAACTGCCCAACTGGGATGTTTAGGTTGTGTTGTCTGCTCTAAGCAGACCACCCTTTGAGCCTCTCCGATCAGCACCACTCAAATTTGTGTGTCTTCCTACTGGCCCTCGCCTCAGGTAGACATCAGTCAGAACTGGGGGCATTGTCCTCTCGGACAAGTGTACCGCCCTTATGGACAATCAAGTTGTGCTGAAGACACGAATCGGGTTTCTCGCCTAGAACCAAATCCGAGGACACAATCCTCAGCCGATCGTCATCCCCTGGCTGTCAAATATTGTCGGCCCGGAGGATCAGGAGGAATTGCTTCTCTGCCCGGTTCGAGCACTGAGTTGCTACGAGAACCGTACTAGGGTTTCGAGACGGGGTGCCAAGCACATGTTTTTGTGTTACGGCCCAGGCAGGCATGATAGGCCAGCCTCCCCGACTTCCATCGCCAGGTGGATTTCTGCTACTGTATTAGAGGTCTATAATACTTTAACTTCTTCGACACAAAGCTTGCAGAGACACCAAGCTCACTAGTGCTAGCGTCAGGCGCCCCCCTCAAGCATACATGTATACTGAGGGCTGGCTTCTGGGGAACGCAGAACATCTTTATCAACTACTACCTAAGAGACACTCAATCTATTGAAGAGGGCCTCTTTAGGTTGGGTCCCGTCGTAGCGGGTCAGACTCTGGTTGCTGCCCCAGCCTGAACGACCACAAGGGTCTCTGCGCATAGGCGATAAGTCGGTCTCAGCATTTTTGCGGACAGATTTCTCTACCGTCAGCGCTCCTTGAAAGTTTCCAGATCTTGCTTTTCGACCTATGCCCTCATGCAGAACTGTTTCGGTCTTTACTTCGAAAGCATACTACCCCCCAGTATTGGATTTGGGCCTAGCTTTCTCGGGCACACCGAAACCTGTCACCGTAGCAGCATTTTTGGCTTCTTGCTCTGGGGACAGCACAGGCAAGGTAAGACACCACCCTCTTTTGGGTCTTAACTAGGTGATGAGTGATGGTTGTAGACTGTATCATCCCTGACTGGGAAAAAGGACTTTCATCATTTTCTGTTCACTCGGAAAACCTGCCACCTATTGGCGTCTGACTCTGTCTACAGTTCAAAATAGTCATTTTGACTGACCGGAGTCTATGGTGGGTAATTGAACGTAGTGAATTTAGGCAGAGGGTTCTCCGAACTTGCCTATTCACATAGTTCATACCCACCATAGACCCCCCCCCCCCCCAACCACCCCTCTGATGCATGATTATTAATTTAAATTTTCTATGTTTTTGTTGTGATCTTTGCTCACTGAAGTGAGTTCAACATTTTGGACATAGTTTTATAAAATTATTTGACTATTGTATTCACTTTAGTGAGGGCATGCATTCACATGAAAATATTTTGCAATCAATTGACTTTATTGTATATTATATAAACTTGTGTTTATTGATATAGAAATGAAATGGTTTATGGTACCTATAAACAGACTGTGCTTATTTATTCATACTTTTCATTCAGAGTGCATATGCACTCTCAACATATTAACTGAACCATGCCTTATTGAAGCCTTTCATTACAACAGTGAAGGAAAAATTGTTTATGCAGCTAATTTTTAAAATTTGTAATATTTCTATGGCATCTTTGACCTTCAAATGTCAGGATATGTTAATTGTGTTTCATATTTGACAACATTCAGAACATCTGGAGTGACAGATTATTATGCCATGAATGACGAACATGCACTTTACCAAGCCAGAAGAATTATCAAGAATCTAAATTACAAAAAAGTGATTGATGTAAGTATTTTGTGATAACTCAATTGAGTAATTCACATATGCATGCATAAAATGACTTAGTTTTTCAAATAAAATTACAATATTATTATTACATGTATTCACTATGATTATAGATTAAGGAAAAAGATATATTAGGGTAAAATGTCTGTTGTCATTGTTGTTCTAGTTGTTGACTCTGGCATGGATACTGATTCAAAATGGCGGCCATTTTTATTCTAGAAAATCATCAAATATCAAGCATTTCTGGCATTTATGGATGGATTTTGTTCAAACTTGGTACAATATTAGACATAATGGATTCCTGATGCACGTCATCTTATTTTTCAGATCAGATTTATAATGGCCGACTGGTGGTTATTTTGTTTCAATGAATGCAATTCTAGTGCCATATCTCTGCCATGCTTTGACTGATTATGTTCAATTTTTATATATTCATTATACAGGTATATTAGTTCGACTATCTGATTCAAAATGTCCAAATGTCAATCATTTTTGTGCTAAAAATCATCAAAAATCAAGTATTTGTGGCATTTATGGATTGATTTTGTTCAAACTTGTACATACATTAGACATCAGTTCCTGATTTACGTAATTTTATTTTTCAGATCAGATTCAAAATGGCTGACTGGCGGCTATTTTGTTTTTATCAATGCACTTCAGAGCCATATCTCTGACATGCTTTGCTGATTATGTTCAAATTATGAATTATATATTCATTATGTCATAGATATATAGATGTATTCAAAATGACCGACTGGTAGCAATATCTCTCAATATGGACAACTACTCATTTGACAATCAGATGCAAGATGTCAATCATTTTAATGTTAAAAAAATCATAATCATATTGCTGACATGTTTATATTCCAACTATATTACTATAAACAAAACTATATATCTTAAATTTGATAACTAGGACTGTGCCATGCATGTTCTCACTTTATTTGTGCATGGTATCAATGATGTATTGGGGTGATTATTATCCATATTTTTCTTGATTAACTCTGCCTGTGAAATGCTTGCTACCCCATTGTCTAAAATCACCTATTGCTATGTGAATATTATCGTTGTTTATATATCTGTGCACAAAATGAATATTTTAATTCCTAAAAAATGATTGAAGTTGCTGTCTACTATCAGTCAGTTATTGCATTTCACAATGAGGCTCTTTATTAGTCCTCTGGTGACATCACTATGGGACATTGCTGCACAATGTCAGGGTTCTGGATAATGCTAATCTAAAATGAAATTTTTCTGTTTTTACGATATTTTATTTTAATTTAAAACTTATTATTTCTGTTTATATCAGTTACCCAGTAGTCAATTTGCATAATTTCTACATTCATTGATTTCGTCTACATCTTTTAACCACATCTATCAATGATTTGTTACTGTTATTATGACAGGTGAGTGTAGTGCCACCAGAAGAGCCTATTTACCCTGCTGATGAGATGTATGGTATTGTAGGAACTGACTTAATGAAGCAATATGATGTCAGACAAGTTATAGCAAGGATAGTTGATGGCAGTATGTTTGATGAATTCAAATCACTCTATGGAGATACACTAGTTACAGGTGAATGCAATTTTTTCTCATTTTTTGTTATAGGGGAGCCACTCAATCCCAGGGTCAGGGAGGAGCCACTCGGGGTCATGGAGGAGCCACTCAATATCAGGGTCATGGAGGAGCCACTCAATATCAGGGTCATGGAGGAGCCACTCAATCTCAGGGTCAGGGAGGAGCCACTCAATCTCG